CTGGCGGCACATTTCTGCGATGGAGACAAAATGTACTACTCTTTGAGTATATACATTATATGCGTTCAGTAGCAAATTAAGGGTTGTTATTGGGGGTTAGAATTGTTCAAATTAATAAAAAATCAAACATAATAAATAATAGAAAACAAATATTAATTTCGATATGGGCAAATGCACTTGAATTGATAATTTTGACAAAGATCGGGGTGCATGCATCTGAGTGTAATATCAAGTATTTACTTATATAAGTGGTTTGTTGTGTAAGAGATTAAACAGAAAAAAAAACAAGCTTGGTAGAATTGGTGATACGAAACGAAATATTTAATTGAGAAATTCAAGGAATAACATGGATTTTGAAATTGTATAAGCATGCAAAAGGCATTTTCTTGAACTAAAAAGCATATTTTTTCCTTTAAAAACTAATTTCTTTAATGGAGCATTTGTCGTAATTTTTAAGTGAATTAAATATTTATTAGAACAGTGCACAGTTGAAAAAAATTCAGGGACTTCTTGTTTTTAATTAATGTTTGGTAGATATAAATGTCGATCAGAACACACCTTTGCTTAAAAAACAAGTGTACTCCTTTACTTGTATTCTAGAAATATAAATAACGTGTGATCTGAAGTGAAATAAAATAACTTTATTTTCTCGTTCCAGTTTCGATATAATTTTCTGTTTTTTATCTTTTTTTTTATTTTTCATCAATATTTTTGTTCATCCAGGACCGAATCTCTCCTTTATATTACCCTTGCAAGATGTCACTTTGCTAATAGTACTGGGCAGTACTGCACTAATACGCAGATACGTTACTGTAGTTCTAAAATAGATGAAACTTACTTTTGTTGGTGGACTTTTATGGACAATTCATTACTTTTTACTTTTCCGTATACATATGAATATACAGAGTAATATACGTAGTATAGACACACTCATTGCCTGGCCCTGATAACTAAAAGGTGGTTAAATCCAATTGTTAAATTTAGAATAAAAAAAAACACTCTAACATGTGGTGTAGCCAGAATCAATGTTTTGTAGGTCCTTGATACCGAGAAATCGATTGACGACAAACCTTCAGTCCGTCCGTCTGTCTGGTGTATATGACCACACAAAGGCCCAAACCATGTGTAGGAGTTTTTCCAAATTAAAGAAACCCCTTTCGATTTCACCTGAGGCGAAGCTCGGCAATGTTGAAAAACATTCATTAATTTGGCGGGTACTTTACATGAAGCCCTACGGACATTTTCAAAAATTTTCTCAATGATGACTTTAATTTTTTCTTTAAATTTCTTAAGAATCTAGTAAAATACACTTATAAACGTCGCATAGGTTCGATTTTCACGGTTAACTCTGCATTTTTGATAATTGCAAAAGTTTGAATTTTCTTCTGTGACTTCTTACAACTAAAAAGTTGAAAATAGACATTTTGCCTTAAAATGAAAATTGATCTCAATAATTATTTCTTTCATTAAGGTCACGTACACTACTTGAAAATTAGTTTTCGAACAATGCAATATGTCCAATACGTCCAATTTTAAATAATAAGAGAAAACAAGCTTTTTTTAAAAACAGGTCTAATATTGTTTTTAACTTTTGATACGGATAGTGCTAAATGTATTCGATTTGATGACATAAACTCCTTATTGATCTATTTCCTTATTTCAAAAATATCAAAAAACGTAATTTTTTACTTACCTCTCACGTCATTAATATTTTTATTGGCGGCAATTTGTTCACACTATTATATTTATAAATATGAGATATTTTCAAAAAAATGTCATATAAAGTTTCTCGAAAACTCAACAAGTTAGTGTGAAAATGAGCTCAAAATTTCGCATTTTCAAATGCGCTCAAACGCCATTTTCTCATAAACGACTTCAAATGTTTTCTTCAAACTTTTCGAACGAATAGCGATAATTGAACTGTTAAATATATATAGAAATAATTTTGGGATTTTTTGTAAAAAAATTACAAAAATGAAATTTTTTAAAATATCTCTCATGTCAATAATATGCACATTTCCATGAATTTGTAAGCGCTATTGCATTTGTGAGTTGAAGTGCTTCAAATGACTTAAAATGAAGTTTTTCGAAAACACAAAACGTTTCTGTGAAAAAGAGCTTTAAATTTCGTATTTACAACATCGCTTAAATGACATTTTCTTAAAAGCGGCTCTAATTTTTCAATGAAAATTGCCATTTATGACGAGGGTTTACTCTTGTTTCATATTCTTAAAATAATATTTCTGTTTTACTGTTAGGAAACCGAAAAATTAAGAAAATTTTAATAAAATTACTTTGGACGGCTATAGATGGCAGCTCGCAAGAGTATGTGGCAAGTCAGAATAACTAGCCCTGACCAAAGAAAATAGAAATCCAATACGGGAAAGTCTGTGCCATTCTGTAGCACCACTAGTATGATCTCGGTTAGTATTTTTTTAATTATTTACTAACTATATGATAGGATTTATCGTAATGAAGTCCATTAAAATTATGTATTTAACATGTCTTGCAAGACCGGCACGTGTCGCAGAAAAATAATAGTAAATTATGTATGCATTTATGCAAGACAACACTTCCTTGAAATTATGAGTGTGGGTGCAAATAAAACCATTCCTTCAATTATTAGATTATTCAAGTGTACATTAATAATGATTAATGGTGATAAATTCAATCCAAACAAATATTGATTAAAAAACGTAGCATGTTTAATGATTTCGATTGCTTTCCAATTACTTATGATCACATTTAAAATTCAAAGTAGGTACTGATATTTATTTACTGTTGTTATAGGTCGTATTTTCGTTCAATATCTGCGTATTTATTATAAAGACCGTATTAATTCACTGGGGTTCTAAACGCTCAATTTTTTTAAGAATGCGCAAAGATTTATTTTGTTAAGAAATATTTAAAGCAATATACTCTCCTAGAACCCCATCTTAATCGAAACGTGGGTAACCTTGTGGAAATAACTGAAATTAGGCTTCTGTGGGCAACATAAAACGTGAAGCGAAGATTATGAAGAAATGCACTCCGTTTGCCGTTGCCTCGAGAACCTTCTTTACCAGGTTTTACTTTTTTATTTAGCTACGAAGCGATTGGGATGCAGATAATTCTGTACGGATAAGTTGTGGTTTGCCATTGCCTAGACGCCTCAATTACAAGGTTTTATTTTTTTAAATAGATTGTCAAAAAACAACAACAAACAATTAGCAGCTGTGAATGACGCATGCAAAGGTCAAAAATCGTACGCCTTCCATGAGGTTCGAACACACAACCCGAACGCAGAGCGGTTGCCATTGAGTTATTCGGTCGGCCAGCCATTGAATTTGACCAACTTCAGCAGAATTTATTCGAATATTACAGTATAATCACAGTTCTCTATGGTTACAAGTACCATGGGTGTTTTCCTTTCCATAGTGATAAGAAGTATCTATCTTGTATGCAATTAATTTCCGATGCGCGTAGAAATTGAAAGAAACCATACAGCTCTCGGACCATGTGAGAAGTGTCTATGGTTCGTTAGATACCGAGGAACTCGAAAGAGAGAAAAAATGAAAGAATTTCAGTTTTGACTAAAAATTGCAAATATTAACTTGTTTTATTTCCGACGATTCTCATACTGTGCATACCGACGGAATTCTCGTGCTCACCCCGTCACTGCTTATGACATAATACCTCATTCGACAGCAAGGAAGAGGAAGAGGCTGCCTTTATTTGCTATTCACGTCTTGTGAAATTATATCTTTTGTTGATATTCTTGGGACGCAACGAATAGTTGTACTGTGTATTTACTATACTATTTTAGTATTCATGAAGGCGTTTTTGTTAAATATATTTAATTTTGCAGTTTTATACGAGAGTGATTTATTTGTTGATCGCGAGCATTGTGAATGGTACTTTTTGGAACATCATAGTGTCGTTTTACTCAGCAGTATTTTTGCTGCTGCAGGACATTAGTTCCTTATTAAAATTAAGTATATTTAATTATAATGAAGTAAGATATATTTATTCCTTCCTAAATTATTCAGAAATGTTATGACATGCGTTCGGTTCCCAATTTTGTTCATTTTACGTTTTCCGTCGGCAAAATTAAGAACTACTATTATTTACTTCAGATCATTGCCTTCTAGATCCTAGGAATTTATGCTTGCCTGCATGTAGAGAAGCAACAAACTTCGAATGGAAACAATCACATTATTTCAGTACAATTGTGTTTAACGCACAACTTCAAAAATGTAATCAGTAATTCCAAGAATATGAGAAATTTTTAATGAATTTACCTCTTCATTGTTTTCATTATTTGCTCATTTCGTAGTTTACGGTGAGTCATTATTTCCTACTCTACATTCAGGTATCCATTCAAAGATGTATACAGAAGGCGGTACTTTATGTAAACAGACAGTAGCGCTCCCAACAGCTTCTACACACCTAATGTAAACAAGTAATACTATTCCGTGACAAAATGTTTAGCAGAGTTATTTACTTTATTCCATGATCGAATCCAACAAGTGTCGATTCGTAAATTGCAGTCCGCGCATGCGCTCTACTCGCCACATTTTTAAAGAAAACTCACCTTTTGATCCCATTGTGAAGTACAGTTCTGAGATGTGATCAATACTTAGTTGTCTCTATATGAAAAAAATACAGTTCATATCAACGCATTTTATTATTGCCCTGTTTTCGCTTAGGTTTGTCACAAAAAGGAGCAAATTGTTGGTAATGAATTGACAGCTAACGTTGTGTTTTTCATAATGAAAACGCGTACAGAACGGACTTTAAAGATGAATTGCTACCACCACAAACTGCTATAGAGAGCTGTGAATCTGAAGACGCGAATTGGGAACTTCAGTCAGGGGCATCACAGCTTATTTTTCACAGATATATTTCTTACTCCCTGGAGGCGCCAACGTACATCCAGCAGATCGGATTCGCGCTCTTTGCATTTTATATTATTCTTTGACTTAGGCGTTCTGCGCGTCGTTCCCTTAAAGTTCAGTAGCAGTTTCACTTTGTCTTGGGTATTAAGTTTCTCTGGCTCTTACTAACGCTTCTGTCAGGTAAGTTTTTTCATACGTATTTGTTTTTATTTTTCGCCCTTTATGACATACTTGTGCCACATTCAAAAAACTTACTTTATAATTGATGGATAATTAATTAGAAAATATCAGAGTGAATCTGTGGGGTACACATGCCAATGATGTTTTGATGAGTAAAACTGAATCACAATTCGAATAATCGCATCTATGCGTTTTCGTACATAGAAATTATAATTCCTCTTCTAACGGTTATTTACATTTTAAACATCCAGTAATAATAATTAAAATAAATGCGCAACGTATTAGCACTAAGTATATCGTGAATATCAAATAAGAATTCACAATATTTTATTTACTGTATCAATAGGAGCTACTGCTTGTTTTCCTAATGTATTTTAGTGATAAGTATCGTGTTATACCATTTTGACCCTGTTCTACGTATTAAAAATAAGATGTCAATGTCTCCACTTAACCTCTAAAACTCATCATAGATTTTAACTGCGCAATTGAGAAATATGAATGGAAATAAATGTAACTTCGAATAATCTTCTTCCCCTAGCAAGTCACAGTTTTAACTGTTTTTGACATAAATAAAATAAATAAATAAAAATTATTTTCTGGTTTATCGCGCTCTATTCTCACATACTTTTATAATTTTGTGTTTCAAATTTCATATGATAGAATGTAGTAAAAATGCACAATTGAAATGTGGTTGAAGTTAATGAATTTTAATGATACCCTTAAACTTAGAAACTTTTACCGTGCTGTTAAAAATGAAGACAGTACTAAAATTATATAAATAAAATGAACAGTTATGTGAAACGATAATGCATTTCTATCTTATTTATGATTCAATTTGTTTCAATTGATGAAATAGAATAATGAATAGTAATCATTGACCCACATCGTATTGTTAGAAAACAAACGCATTTCGGAAGCTTTTCGACCCTGTTTACATTTGGATGACCTTTTAACACCGGGCGGAATGAAAGAACACACTAGGCGAGAAAAGTGGGGGTAAATTGTGTAGTTCCTATCTTTCTCTTGTTTTACTGTTATCTCAGCTTGACGCATACATGTTGATGAAGTTGGAAACGGGACTTTCTTGACATAATGCTTCCATATAAAATACCACGAATTGACATTGTAATCACTAGCACCCTCGTCCTTGCTCGCTGATAAGAATGTTCTTTTAAGAAAAATAATATAATTTGTTCTGAGATCGGAAACAAAGTTCTCCTGCTCCGAGATATTATCCAAAACTTTTTCGTTTGTAAAGTTGATATAATAAGATATAATTAATTACAACTCGTGCAAGTAAATCTTATGCATATGACGAAGGATTCAGATAGTTGCAGATCATAAGTTTGCGGCACCAATTATATTTATGTTATTAATACGAATGTCTAACCTCCTCAAAATTAGAAAATGTCGAAAAAGATAAAAATATATTCCGACTAGATTTACCTTCCAATTCCTCTTTCATTTGTTTTAAAAAAGGAGATTGCTTGAATCTTACTAAAATGATGATATTGTCGAGTGGGAACTTCGTGGGAGGCATTTTCTAAACGTGCTTGTATAAGTGTGTGAGTTAGTGCTCGGAACCAGAACGTATTTCAGGTAGAATTAATTTCAGTTCGGACCACCCATTAAGATTTTTGACATTTTCTTTAGTTGTTAACTTAAAATTTAAAAAAAAGTATTAGTATTCATTTTAAGAACACTGCTTTGAATGTGATGAGATCTTCGTATGGTAATAATTTTGAATAAATCGAGTAAAGTTGTGGAAAAACGTTTCAGAGTAGAAAATTGCCCATTCTGGATCATATATGTATAGTTTGTGTGTGTTCAATGATCAGGCTCTTGAAAAGTAAACAACATTCATGATTTTACCGAAACCGATGGTTTTCGCAGTGAAAGTTTCATTGCATTATATTGTACACAGCAACCCTACAATTTCATGTAGCGACGAATTATCACCTAACAATATACAATATTAACACTTAGTGAGAATGTAAGGAATAAAAATCCTCCTCACATTCGTACGTGTACATGACCCTATGTATATTCTTCTATTGTTCGTATTCACACTGCACATTAGCGTGAAACCTCGCGAAACTTTTGCACATATCCGGTCACTGACTTCACTCTGTACACTGAAGATCACTCATTCTGTCCGCTTTTTAAGTATTTGTCCCTTTGGATCGATTGTTCGACATTGCCAGCCAGTGTACCCCCATCCCTGGACCCAGTTTAATTCCCACGATTGGAGAAGGGGGATTGAAAGACATTGTAGCCAACATGACACATTCCCTCATCACAACTAGCAAACTCCGCCTCTCCGAGCTTTTCTTTCTTTCACGACAGAAACTGAATGTTTTAAAGGAAAGCTCCAACTCGTTTATTTATCTTCCTATTTATTTAGTATTCGTTTGTTGATACGTTCACTTCCTTGGTGCTCTGCGCGTTTTTTTGTCGCTGTGGAGCGCGGCGGAAGCGGCGGCGGGGACGGGGGCGGGGGCGGCACAGCACCTGAAGCGGCGCGGCCCCTGGGAGCAGCCCGGGCGCGACCCGCGACCGCCCCCGCGCCCCGCCACTCGTTAGGAGAGGCCGGAAGGCGGCTAACGAGCGGCGGAAGCGCGCGCGCCTCGCGACCGCCGTTCGGGGGAAGGGGTGGGGGAGGGGGTGCTTTAGGGTTTGCGGTTCGCCGCAGGTTGTGGACCATTGGGACTGAAAAAAACGTTCATGTTCTGGATCGTGGGATTTAGTTGCAGACAAATTAAAAAAATTAACTCTTTTAAACGCATTAACTGACGTTTCGGAAACTTCTTAGTTCCTTCTTCAGGGCTAATACTCTAAAAAGAGCGACACAGTTATTATATATTTTTAAGACACACAAACATAATTATTCATAGAAATCTCAAGACTATTTATTTATGTACGTGTGTTATATGTCTTAGAATTATTTTCTCTTATATGAAGAGTGTTGTTCTTTTTTCAGTATTACCCGTAAAGGTAGAATTACGAGTAAATTATTTCAGATATTGAAATGTGAACATTGGTGAAATGGGAACTGATCAGAGGGTTCAGGTGTATCTTTCGAACATATACTGCTTTTCCTCCGATAGAGCAAGGGTTTATTTAAAAAAGTGACACAGTTCTCATTTTTTTAACATTCTGGTTTGTAAAACTTACGAAAGTTCAAAATATATTCTGTTTTTTCTTACATCTACATTAATGAAAATATATTTTATTCTGTAATTAAAGCTTTTCTTCAAAGAAATATCTTCAAATAAGATCATGTACTTTTTTCCGTTGGTAAAGTTTCCGTTGGTTGGGTTTCCGAGGTGTAAATAATTGCCCGATGAAAATTTTGACCTAAAGTGCAATAGTGTAATTTGCTCATACCGTACTACAGCAGTATCTGAAGCATCTAATTTCTGAAATAGCTGTTGTCTATTTCGTTTGTTAGCACATTGCAGGAGTATTGAACAATATGCCGCTCATCATCACAAATGAAGAATATGCTGTAACGTTGAATGTGTGCCTGTAACCCTTGGGACCGCTGTTTCACCGCTTCTATAGAAAAACACATCGAATGTTTTCTATGCCCATATTTCTGGATTAGTGTTTTTTCTCAGACATTTGGTGAATGTGGTACGATACCCGTTACTGGCCTTCAATCTCGACGAAAACAGAAATTATTAAACCGATAAGACCCTACTAGGCAGATTCTATGTCAGAAATCCTTCTTAATGAGACAGTGCACTATACAGACAACTAGCTCTATCTTGGAAATACTTCGGATTAGGGTATACCTTCAGGTAAACGTTTTTGTTTAGAAAAACCGATAATACGACCTTCCAAAATATTGATGTTTCCTCCTGAATCATATCTGAATAATACTCGTATAAGCGGAAGAAAACAAAGCAAAGATAAAATATTCAGCTGTTTATGGAAATACACGTAGGTTTTGCACGACAGAGCAAAACACGAATTTTTAAGAATGAATAACACCACATAAGTGCACATTGCTGGTGAAATACTTCTTGACTTTGACATCTACCTAAGCTTTAATGAGGTTACTTGTCTCTCTGCCATTGTAGTCTCCGTGCTATTCCGAAGACGTTTATAAGTGAATAATGTCGAATGTCTTCGGGTTGACTCGATGAGACATGCTTCTCCCCCTCTAAAACGTAACTTTTCCTTATTGAAATTCAGTAAAACTATTTAATTTTTTTAATTTGTTTCAAAAAATGTCTTCAAAAATTTCAGGTATTAAATGGATCTGGTTTATGAATTGTTGTATTCAGGGTCTGAATACAAAGTCGGTATAGTGTCTCACTATCAAATTGTTACGGTTCCGATGATGAAAACAAAAGTTAAACATAGCTTCGTTGGGAGAACTATTTTGCAAGGCGTGTAACATTAGTACTTCATCTTTAAAATGGGAACAACGTTGAATTCCTATTCAAATGTCTTCACTGGTTCTCTGAATTTTACAGACTGTTATAATTTTACTTTCTCTTTCGATTTCGAACACAAAGTACTTTCTAATGTAGATAAACACTCTGGGCAATTTAAGGAATTTACAAAGGACAACATGTAAAGCAGAATGAGTTTACAAAGTGCCCTTCGATGCGAAGGGAAACCCTTTTATGCAGAAGGAAGGAAAACAGAATACATTCCTCTGTATGGCGCAAAGTTGTTGTCACCCTCCGCATCGACGACAGTCTGTCATTACGTCTTCACCACCCTCTCGCACTCAGACTAGTGTTGCTAATGTGACATCCCCTCTATTCCGTCAGGTGACCGGCGCCGCCACTATCAGACAAGAAATTCAGACCACCTCGGCACGTCTTCCGTCTGAGCGCTTTAAACCAAACTGTCTCCAACTTTCCTGATTTCATCTCAGTTGAGAAACAAATATTATTAACCAACTTAAGGATCCAATCAGCAATATTTTATTTGCCAAGACTTCGTTGATTCTATCGATTTATGGGAGAAAAATTATTCACATA